CGGAAGATTCATGTCACGAATTGTATTACGATGAGTTTGAAAAGTATTAGTTTTATCTTAAAATTAGTGTTATATATAAATTTATGGCTCCGCCCCCTCCTATTAGCACATAGGATTCGCTTCACTCGTCCTTGCTCTGCCTTGCTCTGACACTCTAGTTGGTGAAAAACTATTGCATCAGTACTCCGCACGTAGAGTTATGTTCAGAGTCCAATGAAATTACGTCGTGTATACTTCACAGAAAAAATTGGCTCGGTAACACAGGTGAATACTCCCCTCGTGTTATTCTGTGTTATTCAGGTGTTATTGTATGTTATTCATATGTTATTGTGTTGAAATATTTTCAGTGCTATAATAACACAATTACATATCAATACCACTTTAGTGCTATAATAACACAATTACATATCAATACCACTTGAATAACACATAATAACACATGAATAACACGAGAAGAATATTCTCTTCCGTGTTACTACGCAATACCAGACAGATTTTATTTTATTTTCTGTCACTGTCACGTGATGTGATTTCATTGGACTCCGCACCCAGCTCTACATGCGGAGTTCTGATGCAATATTTTCCCCTACTTGGTCTCGCTCGTCTTCCTAACACACTTGCTTATGACTCACTTTGCTTAGCCTTGCTCTACCTCACTCTAGCGCATCCAGCCTCCAATGCCTCGGATATCCACCGGTTGTCCACCATCAACCATTATCGGTCGTCAGCTACTCCTTGTGACAAAACAAAGTACAAAGCAAACAATTAAGCAACACCATTATTCTGGACGTCGTGCCGACCCTAAAAACGGAGCACTGAAGCCTCAACTATTACTCCGCTATGTGACCGCTCTCTACCCTAAAAACAGAGCACTGAATCCTCAACTATTACTCATCCTTGTGACCGCTCTCTACCGTGAAGCTACAAGTCCTTCCACAAGCCGAAATCATAACTTGAGAGATTGTGTAAATCATTTCCGCGACATTGGACTGTACCTATAATCATCAATTTGTGATTTTTTCCATTTAAAATTCTTACAATATTTCTACCCGTCATTTTCTATTATTTGAGTTATATTAGGTTCTGATACAATAATATGACATTAATTAATCATTCTACCGTCATAAATTCTCTTGCAAGCATCAGCATAGATTCGATAGTTCAAAAATATCAGCCATAAACATATAGTTAAAACAACATTAATCTATAAACATATAGTTATAACCCCGCGGGAACATCGCCGTTATCCTCTCTCTACGTGGGGGCCCGCATCTCCTTCATTCCCGCCTACGTGGCCTCTCGCCAACCCTCACCTCCCGTGGCCCCCGCAACGTGGCTCCCCTCTCTCGCCAAATTTCCCCCTTCCGCCTCCCCGATAAATAAGAGAACTCCCGCGTCCCCACCAGCTCCCACACAACCACCAAACCCTCCTCAGCTGGGCCCCGACCATGTCCGCCGACTCTCCCTCCTCCGCCGCCGGCGAGTTCACTCTCCGTCCCCCTCCTTTCTCTCGCATATCGCCGGAGGCAATGATAAAGAAGAAAAGAAACACGAAGCCGATCTCTGGCAATAGACGGAGGTTCTTAAGCCCGGCGGCGGCGATTCCGGTGATGCCGATGCAGTGCTCGCATTACGTGCCTTGTATGGGGAGTCCATACGCATTACATTACGTTGTTCCGCGATGGGGGACGCCGGTTGTTTGCCCGGCGGTGGTGGCGACGTTTGTGGGTGATGAGAAGAGTGATTCGCCGGAGCTTCTTCAATCCTCGGCCAAAGGTGCTTCAATCTTTCGATGCGTTTATAAATGAATAAAATTTGTATTTTTATCTCACATTTAAAACCTTCCAAATCTAAACATAAATAAACGTAAGCATCAAGGGGGTTTAAACGAGCCGAACACAAGCTGAGTCCCGGCTCAGCCCGGGCTTAACTCGTTTATATTTTGAGCTCAAAAAGTATGTTTGTGTTCGGCTCGTTTTTTTTATGGGCCGACCACCAGGTGTTTCACAAACACACGTTTTGACAACTCCAATCTGATTTTAAGGGTTCATGTAAGATTTAAAAATTATTATTTATATTAAAACATCATTTAAATTTAATTTAATACTTTTTATTCTACTTTTTTAATTAATACTTTTAATTGATTACAAATCTTTGTAGTTTTGTGTCATTTAACTTTTTTTAAAATATTACTCATCAAAATATATATAATGAGTAGTATTTCGAGTCTAAATTAGTTGAATATGAATGAACAAATCTTTGTTTTTATTAGGCTCATTAACTTAACGAACGAGCCGAACACGAACTTTCCCGATATGCATTATGATAACCCTAATTCCGAAATGACACAGCAAATGCTCCAGAAAGCAGCAGCAGCATCACCGGCGACAAATCCAAGACCCCAGACCTCCATGAGTCATCTTCAAATAACGGGAAGAAAACAATGAAACCAATAATACCATACGTCACAGCCAAAGGAGACGGACTTCAAGGAAAGACTACCGGAGGTTTCTTATACAGATACACAAAGGTTGATGAGCTGAGGATAATGTGTGTTTGCCATGGCCTGAGCTTCTCGCCAGCGGAGTTTCTGCGACATGCCGGAAATAGCCATACTTCGGAGCCGCTCCGGCATATCATCGTCATGCTGTCACCGGCGAGAAGGTAGAAGGAGATGACAGAGATGTAGTGATTGTTGTTGTAATTTGTTTGATCCATAGGCTTTTTGAGTCACTGTTATATGTTGTTGGAGTTTTATGTAGGTGGTGTTCAATGGGAAGGTGTGGTGAGATGTGTTATGGAGTCTGAGTTGAGTATGAGTTCATTTGCTACAC